GCTGGTGTCTCTGGACAGGCAAGAATCAGTCCGAGAACTGAACACTCTGCGTTACCAGGCCTGGTGCTCTGGGCTAGCTAAGTGCTTGCTCCAATGAAGTCTTCTTTCGTCCTTCTGATTAAGCCATAGAGAGAGTTCTGGGACCCTTGAACTCAAGTGGAGTTCATGACATGTTGATCTTGGCACTTGTACAAAGCATTTCTTTAAAAAGCTACCCGAACACATTGTTAAAATAGCACATAATCGTAGTTGCAATTCCTCTCCCTTGGGGATATCTTTGTGTATCAGCATATCTTGAAGACAGCTTCACAAACATCTTTCCTTAAATGATTTGACAGAAAAATGATAACTCGATCTTTTTATCTCCCATTTGTATGAAACTCTTCCTCTCTATTACAGACTCACAGAATCACAGAATAATAGACACTATCCTAAGCACATTGTAATGTGATTGTCTTCCCCATTCTAAGGATGGTGAGGTTGAGGGGCTTCCTTGCCCACCCACCCAGTGTGGGAGTCAGGACTGATCCCAGGCCACACTGGCCACATAGCCTGCATCCCCAACCATCGAGCCCTCTGCCTCCGTCCACACTGCCTGATGTCTCAATCTAGCCAGGGACAGAGCCCAAGAGCTCTCAGAAACTCATTCCAACCTCCTCACTCTCCGGGCAAGGTCACCTGATGGCCCGCAGCTAATTCCAGGTCAGAGCATTTCTATCAAACCACTTGGCAATAAAGTCCCAGAAAATTAATGCAGGCATTTCTTCTCCTCTGCTCTGTGGCATCATCATCCCCACCTCAAAAACCACACGCAAAGCACATGCATTACGTCACACCAGGTCTTGCCAAGCCGTTTGCTGCAAGCGTCCTGGGCCTTATTTTCCATATCACACTTGGACAAGTTGTTTCCCAGAATCAGCTGTAACCTGGCACTGCTACTTTATTCTTAAAAGTCTCAGGAATCATGCTAGCTCAGGCCACAGGGCAAGCTGTGCATCAGTGCCACCCCAGAGGCCAGCACTGGGCGGGGGGTGAGAGTGAGCTTCAGGGTCGTCACCATGTTGAGCACCTGCTGTGTGCCATGTACTATTCCAGGCACCAGAGAAACAGGGGAATGAAATAAAGCCAGTGCCACCTGGGGAGACAGGCAACTGAGGAGTCAGGCACAAGGTGATGTGGGTTCAAATCCTGTCTGGAGAAACCAGGCAGGGAAGGGCCTGGAGGGGGGGGAATGCTGCAGAGGGGGCTTTCTGAGGCTGAAGCCTACCAGGGTTGGGGGTCCCAGGTTGTGCGGCTGCAGGCAGGTGAGACTTCTCCAGGAGAATTCACCTCCTGGGGGTGCACATACTCATTACCTGGCAAACTTGAACAATTCTAGTGCAGAACTTTGAATTAATTCCTGTCCCAAACCATTGTTGGCATTAGATTTAATCCCTGTCCCAGGTCTCAGAAACAGACGTAGTTTTAATGTCATATAGAAGAAATTCACCACAAAGTATCTTTTGCACAACCTGATTCTCTCACCTTGGGGGAAAATTCTGTAAGGTTATATGATGTCTAGAAGTATCTGAAAGCTCTGTCTTTGAGAGCTTGGGCCCAGGTGTGAACTGAGACACCTGGAAAGTTGTCCCAGACATCAGCACAGAGGCAGCCCTCAACTCAGGAACGTTCAGGTAAGTGATGACCTAGGTTTCCTTTCAAGAAGCACCTACACATCCATTTTAAAATTAGAGCCTTTGTAGCTCCAAGAGGTGGGTGGGGCACAGGTTCTTCCTGTAAACAAACAGACAACCTCCAAGAGGCTGAACTTCCTGCCCAGGGCTGACAGCTAACAGAGGGTGAGTGTGGGTGCACCTCTAATCTGGGTCAGGGTGGGAGCCTCTTCCCCACTCCACGGGCACCTGTCTTCTTGGACCTCTTGTAGGGTAAATGGCCACTGAGGGACACCTTCTGCTCACAGGACCCCAGATTCCCAGCACCTCTTAGGATCAACTGGTGGAGGACAGGACATACCACCTCACAGCCCACCCCTCCATCCCCCACCTCACTCCCCCCTCAGGAGTGTGTTGGACTCTAAGGTCAGACCAGTCATCTCTCTGGGTTCATTCTTCTGTCCAGACCAGTGAGCACTGGCCTGTGCACGTGTACTGAGTGCCAGGCCCTGCCAGGGGCAGAGGGACACAGATAAGGAGTCTGTAATCCCCAGTAACCCTCCCACGGAGAGCAGGGCATAGAAGCTCTATTCTTACAGGGCAGGAGGGTAAGTACTGGGCAGAGGCACCATTGCTTCAGGGCCCAGAGTGTGGAGAGGAAAGCCACTGCTTCCAGGCTGCTTCTCGGCTGGGAGCCACAGGACAAGTACAGAAGCCTGGCTCCCTCCATCTGCAGAATGGGTAGCCTGCCATGGCAGACTCCTGTTAGGGCTAGCAGACTCTGAGTGACTTGATTTTTGTTTAAGCACAAATAGAGGGCACATTATCTGCCTGTGAGGAGGGAGGCATGTGAGCTGTGCTTGAACGATTCTCATAAAAAATGCTGAGATCTGGGAATCTGGGGTCTTCTGTATTTGCTTGGATGATACAAGCTGTGAACACATATCTCAGAGAGCCTCAGGGCAAATTCAGGGCCAACTTTATTTCATTAGTACAGCATTTGGGATGCTTTACAAATAATAAAGTATTCATGTGAGACCACTAGCAGGCTCGGGAACTAACAGATACCACAGACATAAAGGCCTACCTTTCACAAAGGCGATTTCAGACTAGACCCACATAGGGCCCTTCTAACAGGATGAAACCACAGGTCACCTGCACCTGGGTACCTAGCCCACTGGGAAGGTCAGTGCTCTGCCCTCTGTGGCCCACCTGGACAGTCCACTTGTGCACCCAACCCAGGCCTCCCTTCTATTTGCAGACTGGATACCAAACAGTGAGATCAAAGCCGGGTGTCTCCTCAGAAGTGGGTGCATGGTCTCTGCGGGGGAAACCCAGCCCCCCAGGACAGGGAGGTGGCTCTATCGTGAACAGGAGCATCTCCAAGTCTGAACGTGTCCACTGAGAGCAAATAGTGGTCTCTAAAGTTCCTCCTGGCCCAGAGAACCTGGGAATCCGAGGGAGGGTCAAGAAGGGGAAGCCCACCCTCACTTCCCCTCTGCCCACTCTGAAATCGCTCTTCAGGATGCAGCAAAGCTCACTTAACACTCACTGTAAATTATGCAGTTTCAGTTATGTTTAACTTGATTTTTAAATTATATGTTTTAAGTCTTAATTAGACACCCGAAAGTACCAGCTAAACTTCTGAAGTGAAAGTGCTGTTGGGTAACAGAAGCAGAGTGTAATTACTGTACCAAACTGTTCTGTGATCCCGTTTCACAGGAAAAAGGGAAAGGCGCGCCCCACACGCTTTTTGCAGATCAGGTGAAGTAGGAAACCGCTCCCGCCACACTCTGCCGAACCTGGATGGAGGGCCTTGTTTACCAGGCAGGGTCGGTTGTCTAAATCAGCGGCTGTTCCAGTATATAAAAGCCTACCCTGGTATTTTTAAAGTAAAATTCGTTGTCTTCGTGAGCAAAGTTCATTGGTTTGCCCTACCAGTTTTGAGGTAGTGAACAGCTTAGGAACATTCTCCTTGTCGGCGACAACTTCTCAGGCCTCTTTTTGTCCTACAGCCCCTCCCCCTGCACCCCTTTCAAACTCCAGCAATGCAAATCTGTCTTGACAAGCACACTTCTCTCATAAATATTCATGAGGTTAAGCGAAAAGTTTGCTACACCTTCGTTTAAGTGACCGACAGCGCAAGCGCCCTCCCGCTCCAGCCGCCGCGTCCCCGGGGTCCCTACCTGGGCACCCGAGCCCCGGTCGCCTCGGCCGAGCGCCGCGGGGAGAGCCATGGTGGCGCCTACTTTGTCCCGGCC